GTAGTGAGCTTGACCTTTATAGTCCAGGATATGTATCATCCTAGCATTCTTCTTACGTGTACCATCATTCCCTCCCAGCCCTCCTCTATACTGTAATGATGACTTTGCTCAGTGGTGGGTTTCAATTTTTTTTAGAAACTCTTCTGTAGGTGTGGCCTGCTTTGTGGGAGTGGTTTGCTGGCAATGTGACCAGGTGGGAGTGGCTTGCCAGCCATGTGACTGTGTGGGAGTGACTTGGCAGTCATGTGACTGGGTGGGCGTGGCCAACTTGTAAAATGTGGTGAAACTCACTTAACAATGTTCTTGCTTAGCAACCAAAATGTTAGCTCAGGAACTCTGGCATTTGAAGCACGCAAGTCTTAAAGCTGTCAAGTTACAAGACCCTCGTACCCCTAACCCTGTAGAAAACAAAACCCCAGGGGTGTTCAAACTTGACAGCTTTAAGACTTGTGGACTTCAACTCCCAGAATTCCTCCTCTCACTCTTCATCTTGATGTGCCGATAGACGGGAGGAAGGAGCTGAAACTGGTTCTAAATGTCACTGTAGATTTGTGGAACTTCTTCTATAGAAGAGGTTAGAACTGGCAGGAACCCACCCCTGACTTTGCTTCACTATCTTTGGCCATCTCCCTTTTACAGCTGTAAATGATAACTAATTCTTTGCTGTTGAAAGCCCCTTGGACAATACTTGGGATATCATGCAAGTCACTTTTGCATAAGCCAAACTGTCAAGCTAATGTCACGTTCAACGCTGAAGTTTTTATTCTGACTATGAGTACTGGCGTCCCAGCGAACCTGTCTAATGATGTGAGATGCTGGGAGCCGTAGTTCAGCAACATCTGAAAGGTCCCCAGTTTCTATCTTCCTGTCCCTCTCCCCCTGCCATATAACACGTTTGACTTTCACACAGATACTTCTGAATTTTTTGTTTCAAGGTTTATGATAGCTCTCTCCCTTATGCACAGATGGTGGCATTTTGGAACCAGGGTCTGAACCTTCAGAAAGAAAGGCTGTGGCATTTATATCTGCATATCATTGAATGTAAATTGTACTCTGTGATCTACCGAGCCACACTTTAATATCCTTCATTTGGGACTCTGCAGTGCTATGTATGTTGTTGCTGGCTTATATACTTGGCACGTGTCTGAACTAACTAGGTCCCCGATCCCCGTATGTGGATAGATTCTTCAGGCACACGTGTTAACTGAACAGTAAATACGCCTGATGTGAACAAAACATCAATAGCAATTGATTTGGCAGCATGGTGAATCCAGATTAACATTGATCATCCAGTCTCTTCACCATCCAACTAATGCCTGGATCATTGGCATTAGGCATGTGTGTTTTGGGGTATGTGTGTGGCCCTTCTGCTTAGAAAACATGATTGACGTGTCAGTCAGTCGGACACAGTCAGTCGTGTCAGATCGTCTGGTTGAAGATCCTAATACAGTCCTAATCCATATCATGATCTCCTCATACTTTTCTCTCTTTCTCCCTTTCTTTTATGTCTCTCTGGCAGCACTAGGACATAAAGCTAACACTTTGATCAGCATGATGGGGATAAACCCGGGACCCTAGCATACTTATATGAAGAAGAGAGAAGGATTTGTTTTGATCTTCAACTTTTGTTTCCCGTCATGTCTGAAATGGTAATGCTGCTAATTTTAGTTCAGCTAAACCAAAATTATATACCACAGTTGTAAGATATAGTATGACAATAGTTTGAAAACCAATATCAAACAAAATCATCTTTTGAACATATAATAAACTTGAATGCTTATCCAGCTAAGTGAAATAGTTCAAGGTTCCTAGGTTTTTTGTTTTTTAAAAAAAATCAGATCTCTTTTGGCAGACTTGATATTGTCTCCATGTTCTTCAAAACAACAGCTGCCTCTAGTGTTAAATGCATATAATTGCAATTTTTTTTTTAAAAAAAAACCCTTACATTTAAGGAAGGCAGAACCGAAAATAAATATATGATTGCCAGCAAGGTTCCATGATTGGCTGACTCTACAATGACTCCTTATAAGGTAATGGGTGAGTTAGATTAATTTAGGTGAAAATAAGCCCCACAAACATAAATGAAATCCAAATACGTAGTGCCTTCCAATATATATGTACAGATAACCCAAAAAAGATAGACACAAATGCTTTATACAGATATTTTTCTTAGGTTGGATGGGTTTTTATGTTTAATGGTGCTCTAAGCCAACTAAATTTTCCTTTGATTTTGCAATTATGCAAGAATTGTGAATTTATCCTATTATTTAGTAATTCGTATTACATATAAGGATCATACATTCTACTGGCTTGTTTAGAATTGCCAACCATTATATATAATTGTCCCCTCTTGAATTGTATTAGATGATAAAACGGTGTGAATGGAATGAAAGCAGACAAATAATAATACTATTTTAAAGTACCCATATGTAATCACAGATAAGCTCCTCCTCGGATAAGCCAACCCTTGAATTTTTAACCCAAATACCGTGAAAAATGTGCCACCGTCAGACAGGTCAATCGTGAAGATTAAAATGTATATAAATTTTGAAGGTCAGCTTATCACAAGTGGCACATTTTTCACAGTATTTTGGTAAAAAAAAGAGGGTTGGCTTATCCAAGGATGTGCAATCTGTGTGTATTTACAGCACTTCATTTTGATAAAGTTTCCTCTAATGAGCAACCCTCCTCTTACTGCTGATTGGGCTACATCTTGATTTAGGAACGGAGAATAAGTAGGAGTTTCCTGAATGTAATATGGTGCTTAGCAAATTTAAGCTAAGGGCTGAGCGTTATGGATGGAAAAAAAGTAATGAAGCTAGGGTAAAGGATTTTGCTAAAGAAACAAATCCTACAGAAAGAACCCAGGAAAGATTTCACCTGAGAACTGTATGGAGAGGCTGCCTAAAGAGGAAAGGGCTGCAGGAGCTTTCAAAACAGGAATAAGATGACAAGGAAGCAATCGAGTGCTCCTCGGTGATCAATATTCAGATGCCACATAGGAGTACTGTGAGAGAAATGGAAGGGAAGTTTAAAGCAGAGAAGCAGCACAGTACTTGAGGCTCCACTGTGATCTCTGAGAAGGAGGTCATACAATGGTTTTCTACTGAATTATAATGGAAACTTTAGTTCAATATGTCTGGAAGATATCAGACAGAGGATTAGTGGATGATAGACATTGAGATAAACCAGAATGTTGCTGCTGCTATAGTTTCAATTTTTTGCAGCTCTTTTGATATGAACACACAAAAGCAAAATTCAGGCAAGCTATTCGTTGATTATTTTTGCATTTTAAATCCCCATTGCTATGTGCATGTACTGCTTAAATATTTCAAAAGCAGATTTATATATAATGGTTTCTTTTCTTATTTTCCACGTAACCAGTTAGAAAATAAATCAATAATGCATATATAACAGAGGACCAACTGGTAAAAATTGCAGAAGCCAACAATCACTTGCATATATAACATACTGTATGTAAATGATTGCATATGGCTGCAGGGCTTTAAGGCATTAAAATAGCATACAGATAATAATACATAAAACCAGAAACACAGTTCAGGCATTTAATAGTAGGTTTTATTATTGGAAGAAAGCACCATCTTATTTTTATATAAAAGTATGAAACACAACTGTGGCAACTCCCAAGCTACAAATGTAATGCTGAAACCATATTTTGGTGGACAGAGTTAAATTTTCTAATACTTTCACAAAACACTACAGCTAAAGAAATAAGAACACAACCTCATGTCTACTAATGTAAGTTAGTTTACACATACACACAAAGTGCACAGGCAGAACTGAACTTCCAATTAGCGTTAGGTAATATTACCTTTACGCCTGGGCTCTTGCACCACTTATTCATTAAAATCTATTAGACATTTGAGAAGTCTTGCGTTGTTCTTTTTCAATAAGGTTACATCAATTTTTTAAACAAGTACATACCACACACAGTAGTTCTCCAAATATGTTCATCACACTACAAGAATATTTGGTAAAAATATATGCTTTAAAAAAACCATCCACACTGCACAATATTCACCATGCATGATTTTTACATCTAATCCATCTAAATGAATTGCTCATCTCTGTCCTGCCTTTGTACCACGAAAGAAAGTAAAGCAAACAAAGATCCTCTTTTTACAGATGATACATAAAAATGATATAGAAGGACAGAGAGAAATACCCTCCTATATTTACAAATATATCCCTTTGCCAAGCTTAAGCCTGCATGATCTATTTTGCTTTAGAAACAGAAACAAATATTAAGAAAATTAAGCTAAATATTGTGAGGTAAATGTTTTCTTAAACAATCTGTTAAACAGATGGGCTTTATTGCCAATGACTCCAATTCCCAGGTGCCATTACTACTACTGCTTGTCACTCACTTGTGCTATAAACATAAGATTCCTACAAAAATCATATTTCTTCAACTTTTGCTAGAGCAAGAGGCATTTCATATCATAAATTTAGACTTGCATTATTTTAACTTTCTACATTATGGGTCAATTTGTCATTTCATTTTAAAGCTAAGAAGGAAACTACGCGTTGGGCTGTCCCCACCGTCCCCCCAATCCGGAAAAAAAAAGCTTGTATGAACTGAGTCAATTCAAATGGCTGGAAGAGAAAGGGAAATCTTATTTCATTAGCAAATGTGACCTCATAGCATAAGGACAGATCTGCTTATAGTAGGAGATGATGATATAATGGATTGCATCACTTCAGTTATGTGAAGTAAAGGTATCTGAGGGTAACAACAGGCAACAACTGACCAAACTAAATCCTCAACAATTTAAATTTGAATTTACAAGGTGACTTTTTTTAATGTGAAATTGAACTGTATTATTTCATATCTATAGCCTGAAGCAGTAGCAATAGCACTTAGACTTATATACCACTTCACAGTGCTTTATAGCCCCCTTGAAGTGGATTACCAAGTCAACATATTGCCCCCAACAATCTGGGTCATTTTACCAACCTTGAAAGGATGGAAGGCTGAGTCAATTTTGAGTGAATTCCTGGCAATCGGCAAAATTAGCCTGCAATACTGCATTCTAACCACTGTGCCACCACAGCTATAGTAGGCAATTACACTACTGTTGAACGTGAATCAACCAAATGTCCGTATGAGAGTTATTTATTGTATAACAGTGGTGTTCTTTGAGGTTTCCCCAGGTCTTTTATTGGAGCCAAATGTTACTCCGTAGATAACAATTCTCAACCTACTGTTCTAACTGTGCATCTTTTTCACCCAAATTATCATTGACTCATGTTAACAGCTTCCACTAGGTGATTTTCATGGAACACATAACTGCTATCGAATCACATTGTCCTCAACATTGGACACTTAATATTAACAATTAAGAACATACTACCCGAAGAAGGCTGAAGTTTATAAATGAGATTACTGCAGACATTTCAAAATAGTCACTAGTAACGAAGTTGTCACTGTTTTTATCATAGTAACACTGAGAAAACTTGAAGATTTTGTCAGTTCACCACTGCAATGAAATGAAATAATATTCTAAAAGTTGATATTATGAATAACACTGTGAAAAGAACCTCATTTATTAAAATATTTGGCAAAAATTTGGCAGAATATTTTAAGTGGTACGTCCTTGGCTGCAATGCAAAGGTTGCACTTGGGTTCCTATTTTCTAATGCAAATACTGCAATACATACATACATACATACATACATACATACATACATACATACATACATACGAATCTCTGAATATTTCATAAGTTTTTCACATAGTTTTTAGTTGTAACGATCAGATTCTCCATATAGCATTAAAAAAAGACCTGCCACATTCTAATTTCTTGTACAATACACTTGTGAACTGTAATAAAAGAACTGACCACATATAAAAATTTAAGTTTCTGGGTAGACATGACAAAAACTATTTATATCAATGTATTATTTGGTTGTATCTCATGAACAGATAATTCACCAGCCTTCATTTTAGTTTTTAGGGGGCAAGCAAAGGTGTGTGCATCTTTTAGCCTTAGCTCACTGAAAAGTGGGGGGAAATGTAACAAAGTCCCCAGTTATTTTTCATATCATGCCATTGGTGCCCTATTTACTGCAATCTTTCTCCCACAATAATAATAATAATAAATAAACTGTACTACACCAGCCAACAAGAAGTTTGTCTACTCAATTGTAACTGGAGTAACCAATAATTGATAGAAAGGATTCTGCTGAAAAATACTTCTAAGATTAGTTATAATAAGACTTTTAAAATAGTTTCATCTATGCTGATTTTACCGTCACCTAACAACATTTAAAACAAAAAACAAACAAACAGGGATCATGCATCTGAGACTATGGTGGCATTTTCCCTTTTTTGTTTGAGAGTGTTCTTCCAGATCAGGAGGAACGTTACACAAGTAGCTTTGCAATTCTATTTGGATTCAGCCCTCGGACCATCATCTGACGGCAGGGAGGGGACACTATCGTGAGAAACAGTATCAATGCTTTGTGCCTCTGACTGAAGGTGGACAGATACCTCCACAGCTATTTCTTTGCCGTGGTCATTCACTGAACCATCATCTGAATCTCCTGCTGGTGAATTACTGCGCTTTATTTCTGGGTTTAAGGGATAGACTCCCTCTTGGGCACCAAGTGCTTGGGTCTGTTTCACTCCATCTCCTACTTCATCAGGGTCATCAACGTGCACTGCTTCAAATATTTCTTCCATAAAGGCCTTGCAGTTAAGGATTAGAGGTGGCAGAGGGATACTTCTGGCAAGTTCTTCAATGTAGCGAGCAAATTCCATGGTTTTAAACTGGGTGACCTTGGCCAGCTCTAGAGTTTTGGCAGAGGTAATAATAGGAATGCGTTTGGCTATTTCAAAAGCCTTCTGTAGCTTCTCAGCGCCTTCAGTTCTGAAGAACTCATTGATGGCCTTCTCTGTTTTACGAAGATGGCTGCTCATCATGCACAGACGTGTAATATTTAAGATTAGGATGATGGTAAAAGCAACTAGGCAGACAATCATGTAATAAATGCCCATGTCTCCAGAGGTGGAGACCACTCTGAGGGTGACTGAATAATAAGAAGTGCCATTTTCATTTGTGACACTGCAAGTATATCGTCCCCGGTCAGCAAATATTACACCTGTGATATTGAGGATATTGTCAGAGATCACCAGTCTTCCATCTAAAGACACAAATAAAAATTTTTTTTAAACACTGCAACATCAAATTATGCTTTCACATTTCTCAGGTTAGCATGCACAGAAGATGGGGCGATTTCAGTTGTGGTACCTTCTCCCAATAAATATATGCTCAGAATTTCTGTTTAATTATTTATAAATTGATTATAAATATTATTTTATTCTAATCTGGCTTTAATTCTTTTAGCTATTCTGAATTTTAAAAACTGTTGCTCTAGAACAGGACTGTCAAACTCCCGGCCAACTGGTCGGATGTATCATGCGCTGGCCACCCCCATCTCCATTTTAGCGAAGGGGGGGGGGAGTCCTGATATGTCATGCGATGTCACCGTGATGTAAATTTGACACCCGTGCTCTAGAATAAGCATAAACCACATGAAGTTTAGCAGGAAAAAATATTTTGTACTAGATTGTCTACAATTACCTTTTATTTTGGATTAATGTTATTCATTTATTTTCTTTTCCATCCCCATGAAAATATCTAATTATGAATACATTCACAGCAATTGTAGTTATATCCTATAGAGAATAACAGAAAGTAGATACTTGGATACAATAATTTAATGCCTGCATGCAATGGGGCTTTTTCAAAACAGTGATCTTTAAGTGATACATTAAATCATTGCAGCAACTTTAGTTTAGGCTTCCAATTTTCTTGAAAACTGTCTATACCAGGGATGTCAAACTCACATTGTCACGACATCATTGCATAACATATCAGGACTTTTTCCACCTTCACTAAAACGGGTGGGGGTGGCCAGCATGTGACACATCCAACCTGTGGGCCATGGGTTTGACAGCCCTGGTCTATACAATATAAATTTAATTTCTACAGCTGGGATTCAAATAACCAGATTCAGGATCTGATTGGGGTTTCTTTAACTTGTTCTTTCTTAGAGAAAGAATTCTGCTGCTGCAAATCCAATCTTCCTTGCAGCTGTTGTAAATTCAGATGAACAATCCTTTAAAGAAGACTGCTTCAGAAAATGCTGTTGTTCAGAAAGGCATTTAAAGATTTGCCTGAAGATTATTTTAACCTAAAATGCCAAATGATTCTAATGTTAAAGCAACTTGACTGAACAACCTATTTATGGATCATTAAATTATATCTCTCTCTATAAATATATTATATATCTACTGTATTTTTCAGATTATAAGACACACTGGTGTATAAGATGCACCAAGATTTTGAAGAGGTAAGTAAGAAAAAGAAATTTTGGTCCTTTCTGGCCCCCCAGGAGCACTCTGCAGGCTTTAGCAGGGCTGGGGGAAAAGGAAAAATGGCTCATTTTTTGCAAAAATGGCTCATTTTTTTGCAAAAATGGGATGTGGGGGCAGGGCTTTGGGAAGCCAAAAATGGCTGTATTCGGTGTATAAGATGCACCAACATTTCCACGCTCTTTTAGAGGGGGGAAAAGGTGCATTTTATACTCCGAAAAATACAGTATATAAAAATTCTTAACTATGTAAATAGATGTCCATTGTTGTAATTTAAGAGAAAAATGTAGTACATTGTAATATAGGTACCTTTAGGCACTGTGATTGCATATATGTTATTTCCCCCCGCTTTGTGCATTTTACGGAATGCAACACGAAAACCTCTATGAGCATTATATATTGAGTCAAGCTTATTGTAAGTTTAGACAAATATGCGTCTTACCTCTTCCACCTTGGTCCAGAAGATGCCCCTTTGAGTTGTACCAGAGTATGATGTCCTGTTGGCTAACGTTCAAATTACATTCAATGAAAACACAGGTACCTTCTTTTGCTATGATATTCTGAGGAACTGGATTTTTTTTCAAAATTTGAAAGACAGGGAGAAGTGATACGTTGAGAGGCAGGGGCCTTGAAAATGTCAGGTTGGAAGTAACATTTTCTTGAGCAAAAACACCAAGGTTAAGAACCAGAATCAACAGGCAGCAGCTGAACTTCATGGAAGCTTAAAATTAAGGGCTTCTTTTGTTGAATTTAATTACTGAAGAAAGATAGCATTGAAACAATAGACATTATCTTGATCACCAGAGAAGATATTGAGTGATGCATCAACCGTTCTCTTTGAAAATGCCTAAAAAGCAAGTACATGAGAAACCCAACTAAAATACTAAAAAAACATGAATGTGAGTTATTAAAAATAACTGCATAGATTTGTTAAACTTATGAGGAGGATATTACAGCTAGAACCACCATAATTGCAACTAGTGTACATATTAGTACAAAAAAGAAAGAAAAGCAACAATCTTTTTCCTTCAGAACTGCTTTGTGATGAAAATGGGCAACATGACCCATTTTCATTCCTATATTATAGGACTGGATATAGATTTTTTACCATCAATGGAACAATATCTTCTATCTGTGGAAGTTGGCATCAAAAAAGCAAATTCCACTAACAAAAGAATCTTCTCCATTTCCCTACCTGAGCTTTCTTAGTAGCTAATTTGCCATGGATTCTTCCCTGATCAACTCCATAGAACTGATTAGGTCACATTACATTTTAATGTTTTAAATGTTGAAGGTCTTCCTTCAACATTTTTTGGGGGAAATAACATAGTTCAAAAATATAATACAAATATAGCTTCTATTTGTATTTTATTATTTGCTAAATGAAAATGACAGATAAGTACAGAACTGGTAACCGATCTCAGTCTAAAATGATTCTAATATTAAAAAAAACCAAACTTATATGATGCTTGAGTTACTAATTTTAAGAAGTGTTGAGTATTTAATAAACTTCTTCTCTAGTTTTATTTATTATTTTCATAAAACCTCATAGAATCTTATCAGAGGTAATAATAAGTCCCTTATTTCTAACTAAGAAAATAACCAGCTTTCAAAAACTCAGAGTAATTATATGCACCAATTGAATATGCTCCCTAAGATATGGACCCAAGTTTACATAATACACAATAGTTTTGAATGCTACTAATTTTTCCATTATTCTTCAGACTTTGTTTGCTATCTAATCTTTCCTACTGCTATTTTCTATACCTGTTTACAAACTGAATCCCTCACTACTAAATCATTTTGTAAGACATTAATCATTAAATCATTACATGTTAGTTAACAACTAATATAAAAAACAATAATTGAAAAACATACTTTTCAATTAATCTTTGGATTAAATGAAAAATATCTTTGAAGGCAACAAATATGTATATGAAGCAACCAAGAGCTGAGCTTGACATTTTACATTCAGTCCCCAAAGGTTTCTTAAGAATAATTAGCTATAATTACTAAGATTAACTGCTTCACAACATCAGCTTTCACAATAGCTAAGAAAATTATTCAGGCAATTCAACATAATCGAGTAACCTTGGAATCTAATTCAGCAAAGATATCACTGGATACCCATATTTCATCTTGCTGAAATAATCCACAGGTAGGCACAGACAATATTTAGAGAAATCAAGAGCGATCTCTCTCTCTCTCTCTCTCTCTCTCTCTCTCTCTGTGTGTGTGTGTGTGTGTGTGTCTGAGAAAGAGATGGGGGAAGGAGGAAGACAGACAGCTAGAGATCAGGATGCAGATGCTTCTGAAATCTCTGGTAAATTTTTGGAATGCTTGTCCAATTGTAGACTGATGCTCTTATGGACCTTTTCTTTTGATATCTTTCTGAGTTTATTCATTTATTTATTTAGGGTGACTTTAAGCACCTGGAGACTTTGTTTGTGCCTAGCCTTGCAGTTTTCTTGGCAAGGTTTTTCTGAAGTGGTTTGCCCTTGTCTTCTTCCTAAGGCTGGGAGAAAGAATGACAGTCCCTGGGTCACCCAGCTGGCTTCATATTTAAGCCGGGACTAAAAGTGCCGGCCTCCAAGGTTCTAGCCTGGTGCCTTAATCACTACTACACCAAACTGGCTCCATGCTTCTGAGTTTACAACTATGATAATTGCTACTCCATCAAGGGGCAAGGAGAGACTACCTCGAGTTAAAATTGCCTGGACAACCTGTGCCTCATTCTCGAGAGACCAGACTGAGGGAGGCAGCCGCACGCGGGCTCCTTCTCCGACCCTCTTGCGTTAGGGCAGAGGAGGGGAACGATGGCTCTTTTATGGCTTGTGGACTTCAACTCCCATAGTTCCTGAGCCAGCCATACTAGGCTCAGGAATTCTGGGAGTTGAAGTCCACAAGTCATAAAAGGGCCATCGTTCCCCACCCGAGTTAGGGTATCTCATTAGGGTATCTAACTCAATTACTATATCTGCATTACTTCTCCGATACACAGGCGGAACAGTAACAGCCTGGCCTAGCCCTCCGCGGGGCAATACTCCTGGCGGGCAGTGTTCCTACCAACAGAGTTCCGGGGTTCAAAGACTCCTATCACAACATGACGTCCTGACAGCGCCAACAGCGTCATCCCTTTCCTCCCCCCTCCCATCGCGCTTGATCGCCGCGAGGAGCGTCGCCGGCGAATTCCCTTCTCGGGCCCTCTGTCCATCCTCCTCGCCCACCGCGAAAATAACCAGCCTTACCTGTCCAATTACCCAACCGGTCGGTAACTTTTCCTGCAAATTCGTCATATCCGGTAACGAAAAAAAAGAAAAGAACAGAGCGAGGTCACCTGACTCCAGGCTTAGTGACGCTCTTTCCTCCTCTCCATGGTTGAGGTACAGTAATCTAGCGCGCTGGGGGCCATAGAGACGTGGCTGTTTCTGGTGTGATATTCCAGTGGAAGAAAAAAAGGGGTGCAGAGTCCGGAGAGGACAGTTCCTGCGCTTCGAGTTTGTTTCTATAACAAGGTGTCTTTTTCTTACTTGGAAATGCCTGTTTTTTATGCCTTTGCTGCTTTGCTCTGGTTAGGAACATTTATTCCCATCAATTTCCATTAGTGATGATGCCAGTTAAAATCCACGCGAGTTGAGTGGAATAAATCTTCCCTTCCTTCTGCTTGGATATATTCCGAAACATCCCCCCCCCCCTTCTCTACCAGGCTGGACTACAGCTCCCAGTGGGCTTCTGGCTAGGAGAATGATAGTTGCAGTCTTCAATGTTTATTTCAGTGTTTCTACAAGAAGTTGATTTGCTGGAGTGTAGATGCGTCAGAGAAAGAGAGTAATCAAGACTTTTGTATTTACTTGCCCTACCCGCAGATTCTCAGCGGATCCTTTTGTTTTAGATCTTGATCTTTTAGATCCGACAGAAGTAGCTGAGTTTGGACTGGTAATTACAGTTTGGCTGGAGTCCATCCTCTAAATTCAGGTAGGTGTCTCTCTTCTATCTCATACCAAAGGTTGCATCTTGGAACAAAAGTGGCTTTTGTAGCTAAAACTTGTTTTTACTTACTCCCACTTACACATTTTGCTTACTCCTTATTCTTTCCTTCCCCTTCCCTCTTGATTGCCATATTTAATAAACTTAACTTTATCCCCTTCTCCACATTGTTTTTTTCTTCTTTTTCTCTCTTTCTTATATAAAGTTGTATGACTAAAGTTTTTGAACCTTATGCAACACTGATGTAATACTCCAAATATCAGTTGGCTGAAAGGTCATTTGGATAAGTGGGATACTCTATGCGTAAGCATGCATAATAACAGCACAGGCCTGGAAAATAAGATAGGCATCATATGCTATGCTGGAAGATTGTCTGAAGGAAATACAAAAAAATAGTGAGGAATGGTTGGTGGGGGGCACCAACCTATTGTATTAACTCCGATTTTCTTTATAAAACACAAAATTCTGGCATGATTTCATATGTTAAGCGCAAGGCACTAAACAGGTAATTCCCCCATGTATCAAATTAACAAAGGCAATTATTTCTTTGAAATTATTACTCATCTCTCATTTGCACTTAGATATGTCTGCCTATCCTGCAGTTTGGGGGGGGGGAGGGCAAAAGCAGGAAAGAACATAGGAATCTGATATATAAATTACCTTGAAATATCAGTTCATTTACTATCTTTCAAAATAGACCAAGGTTTTTCACACTTTTTGATACATTAGAAGCACATTATTTTTCTAGTTAAACCAGAATATTGTTTCATGTTTTTACTTTTGTATTTCTTGAAATGATAAAGTAGCCTATCATTAGCCTTTCATTTCAGTTGATCTAATGCTGATGCTTCTGACACTTTCCCACTCTTGTCATGTAGGTTGTATTAAAACAACTTGGCATATCCCCTGGAATGATGAAATCATCCACATATTAAATGAAAGCTGTATGAAACTTGTCCCAAGGACCATAGTAGGACAATAGTAGTTGTCTATTATGCAAGTTATTAATATTCTTCCATTTTCGGATAGTCAACACAAAACAAAAAACAACAGCCTAATAAGTGTAGAATATGTAACAATAAAAGCTCATATTAATTTAAATATGGTAGAAAGCCTTAATGAAAGGATTTTCAAAGTCTGTGTGACATAGACAAGAACATGCTTTGTTCCATGCAAATAATTTGTTTTTATTATTCTAAATAAATGTATTTAATTAAACATGGAATCAATAGCAGAACTTGTGTAGTCAATTTAAATAAGCAAAAAGAAGTGGAATACATTAAGACACCTTGGTCCTGAATCCTATAAGTCAGTGATGGCTAACCCTTTTCTAAAGGTGTGCATGGCCATCCACCGCATGTGCTTGCGGCTCTCCCCCTGCACATGTGCGCAGCTCCCCACATGTGGGGGGGGGGGAGTTTTCACCCTCCCCATACTCTGGAGGCTTTCCTGAAGCCTGGGGAGGGTGAAAACGGCCTCTTCTGGCCTCCCGGAAGGCTGGAAATCAGTTGGCCGGCCCGTACATACTGAAGGCTGCTATGCTGGCAAATATGGCTCCGCATGCCACCTGTGGCAAGCATGCCATAGGTTCGCCATCACGGCTATAAGGCATATTATAATTCAATAATTAAATACATAAAAATAGATACTGTAACCAATATAGGCTTTGAAGGAACTATGAAGCCATTGTTTCATCAGTATCATGATGTGTTTTTAGAATCAAATTTTGGATTAATAGCTTTCTTGCCATTATGGGCTGAAACCTCTGGACATTGAAAATATTCAGTTTCACGTGAAATGACTTGTCATGATCCAATTATAAATCACCATGGTTAGAAACATTTGGAACTGCTACTGTAGACTAAATTGGAGAAAGACATTTCTATCCATAGCCACACACATGTATGCAGGATCAAAACTAGAAACAATAATTGTATCTAATATGACTTAGCTGTTCACAATACTCTTCAGTTTTAGAAAAGTGTGTAGAGTTTAAGAGTTACTGTCATGTGGGAAGCTCTATATTTCATTTGAGGTTATTTGTTGTTAAAAACATATCTGTAAAAGACACAATCTGTTTTATTATCTAATTGCTTTGCAATCAGTTTCAAAGCCATTCTAATTATTAATTTATATATATATATGTCAAACAAAAAAACTTATTATTATTCTCCTCTACCTGCTGGCTTAAAGAAAAGTAAAGTAGTTAGCTATTTAAGAATAGAATGAAGAATTCGAGACAGTCTCAATAAAATAGTTATATTTTCTCAAAGGAGTTGAAATAACTAATAATTATTCTAATATGCCTATTATTTTTGATCTTGCTTGAGTGATATCCCTATGCAAACCACTGAATCACAGATGCTTACTTCTGAGTAAACATGCATAGGATTGTGTTATATATGTGTTTTATTATTTATAATTGTCTGGGTAATCTAGCAAGTAATAAACTAGTTTCTATCAATCTCATTTTTCAGGTAAATTGTATTACTTTTTTTGCATTCTCCAAACTCAGATTTGATTTTTACATATTTAGTAGTAAACTGTTTTGCTATACTGATACACTTTATTTAACTAGTCAAATGGACTCAAGTTAAAAATATATGTCAATTAAGCTAAAATAAATAATTATAATAATTACTTATAAAACAAGGATATGCTTTGGTCATGTCCCAAATGGAAAATGAATCACTGAGAGAAGATGTGGGTGAATCTGATGAAAATGTGCAAAAGACAGTGGAGGAAGATGTGACCAAGAATAATGGCGAGGAAGCCGAACCTACGTTTATGAGCCAGAAAAGTCCAGAAGCCAAAAGTCCAGAAACCAAAAGTCCAGAAGCCAAAATCCCTGAGCTCAGTGCAGCCCAAGAGCCACAGGTACAAAATATACTAGTATTTATACTAAAACCTGTCAATACTTTTCAGTTTTATCTCAAAATACTCTTTCTTCCAAAGTGAAACAGTGGCCGGGGGGGGGGGGGGGGGGGGCGGAGCGCGTTCTGGCTACAAAAGTCAGTTATTATAATTCTGTAATTTAAACGGAACCTATTAATTTTAAACCCAAGTTGGAATATATCCCCTGAGTTCTTAAAGATAA